CTGGTTCTCCTCCTGTTGCTCCTCTTGTGGTTTATGAATCATCATCAGTCTTTAATGTAATATAGTTTGCTGCAGTTCCTGTGGTTATATTGTTCTGTAGTTCTGCCTCCAGGTTGTGGAGATCGGATTAAACAATATAAACTAAAGTAATAATGGTGTTAAAACTAGATTTGGACTCTGGACTCAGAGACAGGACCATGTTATTGTTCTGTGGTTATTTCAGCTGATCTCTTTATCTCTGAGCAGAGCGACTGAAACTGCTGGTTTTATCGTCGACGTCGCTGAATTAAGGATTTATTTCCACCAAAGTGGAGTTGGTGATTGTTGGAAACACTAACAGAGACGCTTTAATGAGTTTGATTTGTTTTGTTTTTACAATTAACTACTAAAATTATTTTTATTAGATTTAATCTCTATAATTTTTGCTTCTGCTAAAAATGTCTTGAAATCCAAAACAAGACTAATTATTATATTTTATTATTAAAATGTAATTTATTAGACCTGTAGCTCAGGTATGATTGAGATTGTGAAACAGAATAATATATTGTGTGTTCCACATACACAAACACAGAGACACGGAGGTAGAGACTGAGCTGCAGCTCTTCCAGCGAGCCACTGGAGGACTCTGTCACACTGACAACAGGATGGGGAACGTCTGATGGGACACTGTTGTCTGAGTTTATCAGAGGGTTTCCAGCTGTTGTTGCTGTTTCTGAAGTGTTGGAGATATAAGATAATAATAATTCATTTTAAAATCAGGTTATAAACTCACAGTTCACAGTAAAGGATGAAGTTTGTTTTTTGTACGAATTTAAAGGTTATATATGCAAGTCACTGCCACTAGATGGCGCACTAGAGCACCAGCACATCAGACTGTCTACTGTCTGTAGTTGTCAACATTTTTTGTTTGTTTTGTCTCCTGTTTTCTTTCCTTCCTGTTGTCTCAGGTCAGTGATAAGAGAGTGTCCAGACAGCACGGACTGCTGGAGAACCTGAACGGTCAGCTGCGACTCAAACCGGTACGTCCTCCCACCTGGACCGCGTTTGGTCTTCATCAGGGATGTTTATTAATAACCGATAACCGACAATTACCTGCTTCTCATGGCCGATACCGATAAGATACCCGATAGTATTGCATTGTTGTATTTTAAAAAGGAGTCGATAACCTGGAGTTTATCCACCACTGACAAAAGAGGATTTAATATATTCTGTTCTAACCAAATCTAACTATTGTTCTATTGTTTATAACAACAAACAACAAACAACAGTTCTGATTTTTATGTTCCACCAAAGTCAATCAATCGTTTTGCATAAGAAGTCCAAATAAATTATTATCGATATCAACCGATAATTTATTGGCTGTACTTGAATTATCCTGATCATTTATAATAATATAAATTTCCCATTATCGGCTGTTTAATTATGTATCTGTTCCTTTAATTATCCTGCATCCCTAGTCTAGTTTGAGCGACTTACTGGTGACTGCTGCTGCACGATATGGTAAAAACATTATATTGTGATTCACAGTTAGTGTGAAATACATTTTTCTACTGAAAAAAAAAAAGTTCTTGCATTAAAACTTTCATTTTTAACCCGAAAATAAACATTTTTGCATTAAAACTTTTATTTGAACTGAAAAAACTTTCAAAATCATGCAGCGTGACATTTCTTTGAGGTCTGTACTAAACAAGATTTGAAGGCCAGAACAGCTCTGTAGCTCTACAGTACTTCACTATAACTTACATTTATGGAAAGTTGCAGGTTCCCGCATTTTGGTTGTTACCTTAGGCCATATTGTATAATATTTGTGTAATATTTTGATTTTGGTGAAACTGGAATCAGTATCAGCTTTATGCTCTTCTGACCTTTAGACCCACCTGAATCCATGCTTTGTTCAGTCGTCCCGGACCGAAGACCCCCGACCTCTGCAGAAAGACTCCTGGCACCCTCTTCGTCATGGAGACTTGATCTCTCTGCTGCCGGGGCAGCTCATCTACCGGGTGGTGGCCGTGGGCGGAGAAGACCGCACCCCCAGGTATTTGTGCGTTGGTTAATGCTGCGTGTCAACATAAAGACACGACTCTCATCTGCTGCAGTCTCCCCCGACGTCGCCGTGAATAATTCAATCAGGACAGAAGAGGCAGCTCTCCTCTGTTTAATTAAAGCCCTATCTTTTATCTCTGCAGAGCGGGCTGCGTGGGGCTGAAGGGGGGGCGGTTGAAGTGCTGCTGACTCAATTAAAAGCCAACATTAGCGGGGAATGTTTATTTATGTCGTCTTCGGTTATCTTTTATCTGTGAGTTCCCCCTACATTGTGCTGCTGCGAGCTCTCTGAAGTTTAGATCAAACAGACGGGAAAGGACACTCGAGCAGTGCTCAGACCAGCTCATGTAAAATTCATCCTGAACCAGCAGCAAGCTTCCACATATTCTGGTTTCTGACACTTTTCACGTAATTGTTCCTCCCGAGAGAGTTTTAACCTCCCTTGTTCAGGCCGAATGTCATTTTGTCAAATATCCCTTCCCGTAGGAACAGTCAGATGTTTGAAGACGAAGAAGAACTTCCCGTTTCTCCCGAGCCGGATGTGGAACCTCCCACTGGGCAGGACCGTGGACAGACGCCGCCAACACCAGCAGCTCCATCAAACCAGGAGGACGCCGACAGAAGTCAGAACAAGGTTTGCAGACTCACAACAGAACCTTTAAGAGAGAAGAAGCAGTTCTGAGCGGGCAGTTATATCATGTCAGTCTCTGTCGAGGTAGGAACGCGCCTGTGTGCTGATCTGACGTTTGTATGACGCGATGAGCAGAGCAGTTCTTTTACTAACCCGCTATATAAGCTATAGTCTAGAGCAGAGGGTCCCAACCTGGGGGTAGGGACCCCCACTAGGGGTCACCAAACCTTCATGGGGAGGTTGTGAGGCCTTCTTTATTTTAAGGGGTGTAAGAAATCTTAACAAATATACAGAGTAGGCCGACATCTCAGCATTTTGTTTACTTCTGTGAAGAAAACTAAATAGTGTAATAGAACAAGCAACAAAAAAGAAGCCGATTCAGTCTATATGATTGTTAAAAATTATTAGAAAATACATAACTCAGACAGAATTGTATAAAAAGTTCCTTAAACAGGAAA